AATGAATGAAGGAATGATGAATGAATGAAATAATAAATGAATGAATGATTTGTATCTTAGTATACGGGAGAAATTATTCAAAATTAAGGCATATTAGTTCCATTATGCCTATCAGTTGACCACTGATATAATCCCGTACCCAGAGCCTACCGTGTAACTGTATTTGCCCCTTGGCCGTGAAAGGCTTGGGTACGACACTATCACTGATATTACATGATCTTCTTCTGGATAATTACAGAAATTTTCATAAACAATTATATCTGTCGCAATTTTCCATGAGCAATTTTGTTTTATTTCGTGAACAAAATGATAGAATATCTTCTTAATTGTTTTCCTTTTACTACTCAGGTTGCCGTGTTTTTTCAGCCGTTGAAAACCTAGCACTTATTAATTAATGTAACTTCACGTGGCTTGAAGATCTAAGCATGAAAAAAGCCTTTTGTCTTCTTTGCTTCCGATAAATACGCTTGTTAGACATCGAGTGGCAATATTTATAATCATCGAAAAAATTGGTATTGAACTAAAGCCAGACTTCACTTCTCGTGATAAGAAATGTTTCGTAAATAAATCTTGAAAGTGAAAATAATCTGTTTCACTGTTGTAAACATCTTTACATGTCATTTTAATTTTTGACTCGATGAAGGGACAATTATTTAGCCCTACTTCTTTCATGCATTTTCTTCTCCACATCACGGCGGGAGAGAATTCATTGGCACAAACACAGAGAAATGACACCATTGCAGTCCTTTCAGGTTTAGGGTACGAAGTAATATATCCTGTTACGCTTTGCAAATGAACAATTTGCATTTGAAATAGCGTTTATTTTGTCGAAGTTTTCCCCTGCCGATCTCGATTTCTTTCTGGGATAGGTGAAATATAAAGACAAAGTTTCTAGAGTAAAATTGTAAATCGAAAAGATCTTTTAACTGAATCAAAGGAAAAAGCAAATGACAAAGTTACCCACCTTGAATCAATGACTTCATCTTTGTTTGGGGTGAACGTGTAACTCGAAGGCTGCTGAAAACAAATAAATTGGTAAATCTTTCAAGCATAACATTAGAATTCTGTTTAAAACGACAGTTTTGTCATTTCTCTTTATTTTACAGAAATCAGCTCCTTGTGGAAGAAAGCGTCTCACCATGGGTATCATACTTTTTCGACAAATGAGTATTTTTCCAAAGAGCTCCACATTAGTCCGTTATTGTACAACACTACTGCAAATGGTCTCCTCCTCAAGAGTTCCTCATTTGATGGCCAAATGCAAACACGAAAAGTGCAACTTGAAATATAAATATTCGTATAAAAATTCAACAAAAATTGCAGTATTTTTGCCGCAAAACGCCGAAAACGGCTCCGTACTTCAAAATAAACTAGATTCAGAATGAATTTTCGATGTCTTCCAGACCTAATTTTTTTAAATGATCAATAATTCGACGCATGTATGAACGCTTTCATTGAAAAAGTCTATTCAATATGGAAATTATTTCCGGGCCTCGCTTCCTAGCAAAATAATAGCTGGTTCATTTACACTTGCCATCATAGAAGATTGATTTTTTAGCTAAAATATTTATGACATTTTACTATCGAGAAAACCATCTCGAGATAACATTAACACGTCTCGAGAATTAAGGACACTTTACAAAATGGGTTTTCTTTCTCATATCATCATCGTGTTCGATAATAACTAAAATGTGTTCCTCTATGGTTACAGCGTATTTTAATTGAGAAAATTTAAATAGCTTTAAACCTCTTTCTCAATTATTTTTCACGTCTCAATATGGGTGACAACTGTGAATTGCATAGAGCTCGAGCGTAAAATAAATGTCGAGGATTTGTTTTCTTTTAAAAAGAAACGATATTTTCTCAAAATGGCCCAGCAAGGTGTTTTATATTTGTGATTTGTTTGCGCCATAAAGGCGCTCAAAGGCATTTGTTCTTATTGAGCTTTTAAATGCCACGTTTATATTTCCTTAAGGAAAACTAAAAAAAAGGGTTGTGAAGCGTTTTTTACTTGCGATAAATGAAATAGCAGAAGGAATAGAAGCCAGAGTGAAAAAATAGCGTTTCTAGCATTAAATGCTTGCTTTTATCTTGGCAGCAATAAAATAGAAATCCTGAAATACTACCCCGGACTTTGCACTCAATTTGACAAATGAATTGAAAATGATAAAACCTGTGAAATGTTTGTCTGAGAGAAAAGAGGAATCTAATCTTCCGGATAAAAATGATGAGCGATAGAAAAGTAAAAACTAGTTTTCGAATTCTATTTATCTCAGATAATTTATTGAGACAAAGGGTCCAAAGTCCGAAGTCCATGAACATGGCACGGTGTGAAAGAAAGAGGACAAAACAAAACTAGGCAACTCTACATAATACTTCGAAAGTATTTAGAAACGCCTCGGGTGACGGAGGGAAAAAAAAACACGAAATACTATTAATAAAAACAAAAGGAAACAGCAGTTTCAGCTATTTGATTTCCAACAGAATTTGACACTGATAAAGGAAAATGAGAAACATAATTTTCCAGGGTCATGGTGAACAGTGGCGAAAGAGATGTAATTTTTAACAACGTCTTGTGGGTTTAACATGTCTTGATACAAGCGGTGGCAAAAAAATTGCGAAAATAGTTCATTTTTCAATAGATCCCTTAATGAAGAAACGATTTACCATGCAATATGAAGACCTTTGAAAGTTAAGGTATGATGGTGTGAACGTTAAGGCATGATGGTGTGTTTGAATGTTTGAGAGCATAATGGGTTCTGGAAGAAGTTTTAAAATACTCACCACAGATGGGGCCAGTGCTTTAGAGCGAACAAGAGAAGACACCTGTTTCCATCTTGACATCATGGTTGAAACAATTCTTCTTCAAGTGGGTTATCACCGACCACAACAGTAAAAGAATGTGTTCTCAACCGGGACAGAAAAGAACTTTTTATCAGCTTCACATCGTCGTGTGAGAGAGTGGGAGAGAGAAAAAACATGAATGAAATAGAATAATGAAAAATATAACAAAGTGATGGGAAATAATCACGTGAAATTGGTGTCCGCATTGAGAGAACCGAGGACAAAGATAAGAGAGGTAATATTCTATTCTATGCTTGAACCAGTTCGCCCACACTTGCAATGGCGCAACAAATCTCAGTTTAAGCGACAAGTGGTGTTGCTGTACCCAACAGGATGGGATGATAGTCCTTTCCCACTCAATATATCATCAGGTTTCCTTGGCAATTCATCGAGAACTCATTTATACTCCTGAGAGGAGAGAGAGAGGCATGCATGCCAGGAGATAAGTGTCTTACAGAAGACTCGAACCCAGGCCTTCCAATCCTAAGTCTAAGGACGCGATGTATTAGGCTGTCCGCTTGAGTTATCCGTCAAGCACGCGATAATACTAAAAAGAAAACTTTCAGTATGGGTTGGGATCAGGAAAGTGTGAAAGTGTCAACGCCCCTGCCCCTCCCTAAAAGGAGCATAATTTTGTCCTCTCTCAAGATTTCCCGTCATGCAACACCACAGAGGACACCTGAAGACTGGCGTTAGCGTAATAGGCCTGAACATAATAAGAAGGAAGCTGAAGAGACAGAAAAGCGGAGTTTATATCAAACATGGAATACAAACCCAGCGCTGGCCAAAGATAGGCCCTTGAAAGACCTTAAAGAGTGCGCTAGTCGAGTTAACAGAAGGCCAATGGGATGAATGAAAAATCCATCGAAAGAATTTAGATGAAAGTTTAGCAGCGTCACAACATTTATGAAAATTTTGAGAACATATGAATTCAAAACTATCGCACACAGGAAGAGAACTATCACCGCATAAAATGCGTACCCATAAAATTGAACCTACACTGAACCTGAACCTGGTAATTACATGACGAGAAAACCATCCTTCACAATAACTGAATTTCACGTGCATTTTGTACGCAAATCTCCGTGCGGTTAGTTTGAAAAGAAAACAAGCTTTGTGGTACGACAAAATATTATGTTAAAAGGAGTTAAGTGGGGATTAAGGTGGTTTTGGCCTGCCAAAACATTTCAAACGTAGCGTTTTAAAAGCAATTTACGAGAAAAACACGATTAAAAACATAACTGAAAAAGCACATGTATAAATCAAATGCACTTTAAGAAATCGATCTTCTTGATTTTGAACAGAGCTGTACAAGCGCATTTGTTGTCGTCTTAAGATAAGAAGAACCGTTTTATTTCTTATAAAGTTTCCAAAAATCTTGGGAATAATTCGCTCTGCGAGAATGGCTGAACTTTATGGGTAAATAGTTCAAGAATTCTCTCTCTTAAGAAATTTTATACATCGGAGACCCATGTAATATCCATGAGGACACAGGCTACCCAAGCACGAATCGCTGGCTCTTTTTTTCAACAACTGTTTACTCCATCTTGCATTTGGCTGTGCGCTTTTAATTGTCGTGAAAATTGTTGATTTTGTTCAAAGCGCAAAATGGCGATCATACACCGCAGAACATACTCCGTCTGTTGGGTAGAAATAGAATAATTTGTCATAGACTTAATTCTATGGGCTATTTGAAGGAGGTTTTCGCTCACTGCTACAACATCGTCAGCCTCTTGTGAGCTGTAATTTTATGTTTGGTGCCTCTAAGTCGTTTAAATGAATTTAATTTGTTTTACAAAGCAAAAGAGAATTGTTACCCTTTTTTCTCATATTAAACGTATCTCTCATGGACGAATTTAAAATCTAAGCGCATACTGATATTATGTTACTTAATTCGATTTAAACCAAAGATTTCATTTTCAAAACATTTCCTTTCAAAAAACAATGTTATCTTTAACAAATTATCTGGATTGATTCCACAAAACGCATTAACTGGGCAATAGAGCAGGAATCATGCCATATGATTGAAATTATTTGCGAGTAGCTGCATTATTCTAGAAATTTTCCTTAAATCGTCAGGTTTTTACTCAATGAATAATCTTTAAGAAAAAACCCGAACAACCTCTGATTAATTAACTCGGAAAATGGGTCAATTAAATTTGTCTTCCGAAATGCTCGAAATCCTAAATATTATTGTGAGAAAATAATTCGCTGTCAAGCTTGAATACAAACGATTTGCTGTATCTTTGCTATGCTGATGACTGTCGATTAAAACATTTGTTACACTGCACGGCAGAAAAAGAAAGCACGAAAATATAGTGTAAAAAACATCCTGTTGGCGGATATCTTAAAACTACATCTCACCATAGTTTGAGTGCTTTTGCAGCTAGTTTCCCTGGGATCTCGGAAACTTGAAATGGTGCCGCTGATATTGACAGTTTTCGCTGGAAGTCCGTTCAAATGGCCTCACAGAACATGAAGTTGCAACTTAATGCAGTGTGACAAAAGTTATGTTGTGGTTTTTAATTGCTTGTAATATGGTTTGCCACCTGCTGCGGGGATAAACTCAGGTGGTCAAATGTCAACAAATTATATGCAGAAAGCTGTTGCTTAAAAACATCCACAATATACTGCGGTTCAGTTCGTTTTATCGTCAGGCGCAGTCAAAAGTTGACTAAAGATTTAATTTATCTGGCCTGGATACTTGTTAAAATGTACAATTTAGAGCAGTATTTTATGTTCAAATCGTTTGAGGGATAAATATTTGGAATATATTCTTAAGCCATGGTTTTTTGGTTATAAAAACATACACAATTCTATCGTTGTCTGTAATAAAAGGCTCTCTTTTGGAAACGGCTTTATAAACTTCGATTAGAATTCACATTCATTTTTTGTCTGAGCTTTTGATGTCATCGTTACAAAGAAAAGAGCAGATCTATGGTATCTTTAAATAGTGTCGCAGTTTTACGTACAAAATTTACCTTTTTTCGAGAGGAATTTCTCTTCGACCACAAGATGTTAGATGGTTAGATCACCGGCTCAAACAAATACCAAAATAGGCATAAAAAAAATTCATAAAAGAACAGAGAATGTTAATGACATTATAACAGGTTGCAAATGAAGATTTAAAAAATTATAGATCAATATTTGGCAAGCGCAAACCGTTCAATTTGGAATTTGATATGTGACGCATTAAACTGTTAACTGTAGTTTCGTAAAACAACGTTCATATTTTTATCGAAACCAATAAACACGAAGAAAAAAAAACATTCGCGCTGTTGAATAAACGCGTTTCTTTGTCTAATTAACACGACTGCTTGACTAGTCTTCACCTAAGTTCATCTGAGGGACACATTTCGGGACTAATTATGTCGTATTTTAGCTAATTATGAAAGAAAACATCTTTTTGGTGACTAGTGCAACACAGTGGTCAAACGTGGGGGCATGTGCGATTGTTGTGTGCTTTCAGGCGGTAATAATCACGTTGTCTTACAGAAGTTACCAACAACCTCACAGGCCAGAAATTCAAGGTGTTCTAAAAGCGTATTAACTTTTTGATCAAGTTCAGAACTGAGTAGTAAACCAATAGGATACCTGTACTTGATTACGCTTGAACTTTGATTAACGCTTTCCCCTTTCGCTTATTTAACGAGACAGCCATTTTGTACTAATAATCATGTAAAAATTTCAGCATGCTCATTAACCAAGAACACGTCAATTTATCCCATGCAGTGCAGAGAGTTAAAATTAAGTGTAAATTGGACACGCCCTACAACCTCGTGCAATTCGGTTAGCCTTTGAAAAATTTATGAGTGCCGAGTTATTCCAAATTTCACATCAAAGATTATTTCCCAGAATTTTTGTCAGGCTCAAGATTGGAACCCAGGCCTTTCTCCGGAGTTTAATGTGCTAAACTTCAGGCATGGGGGCCTTCTACTCATTCTGAATACTTCTCTTCAAATCGTAGTAGTTTAGGAAAAAAATTTAGTAAGTTTAATTTACATTATACTTAATCCATTGTCCAACGTGCGAACTCGTAAGACTTGAAGTCGCAAAACGGCTTCAACAACCAGCTTTAGCAAAAACTTCTCTATATTCAATATCGGTTTTTTCATTTCTGATTACCTTTCGAAATTCAGAACTCACCATATCTAAACAAATCCATTTAAACTCTAGTTCACTTTAGATTCGGCGCTTGATTTATCAAAGACTGTCTTTTTCATTAAATTTTCCCTGAAGAAATGGCTGTCTTAAAGATGAAAATTGATTGTCAAAGAATAATTTAAATTCAAAGCACGTTTCCTGATTTTAAATATTCAATGACGTCTGTACAACAGCTCTACCGACACTTTCAGCTACTAGCAAAGTATCATTTGTCTTCATGAAAAACGTTTCCGATGAAATAAATTGGAATTTGTTGTTATTATGGTTTCTAGATCATTCTTAATCGAGTAATTTATCAGTTCTAAATATCATCTTTAACGATATCTATTTCAGGTCACTTATTTCAGGCTTGTTATTAAAATTAGGAAATAGCATCAATTGATCCTAATACAACCATGGAGCCAAAGCCTCTTTTTCTTTAAGTTGATTCAGTCGTTTTTTATTTTCTTTTATCTTTTTACCCTAAATTCCAAAAAAGCAACTCGTGAAATAATTAGATTTTTCAAAACCTTTTTCAGTCAGGCCAAAACCCCGTAATTCATTTTTTTTTTCAATGTGTTCCTCAAAGAACTTGAGTCAGTATTAAAATTTCGGTGTTGATATTATGCGAAATATGAAATAAATTCCAATTCATCTTTAAAATATATCAGCAATTGGAGGATAACTTTCTGGGAATTTACGGGAAGAAACTCATGTAATAAAATTGGATTAATACTTTTTGAGTTCTCATTACTTTAGCCTGATTAACGTTCACAGCTCATTTCATAATCCGAACATTTGATTATAAATTGTCTTAATATTAAGATATCTTTTTTAAATTTTACCTAGCCACCTCGATTCCTTCATTTTACATCGTTTTGTTTTCGCAATATTACCTTTTTTTCCCCAGATTATCTTCTCGAGATTGTTACAAAAATAAACTCATGGAAATCATTGAATTAATCATCTTTCTGCTGGTTTCATAAAATGTCACTAGAATGATCGTATGTTTATCGTAAACAAAGGTAAAATGTTTGTTCAGAGATAAATTCGCGAGGTTATTCGAGGTCTCCTTAAAGTTCACAATTCTTTTCTAGAATAATCGAGGGTTGTGACTTGACTGACACCCACTTCCTCTTGAATTCAATTATTTCAAATATCAGATACATATCATTTCACCCCGAGGCATTAAGTTTCCTACCGACGTCGGCGCCTTAGCGACAAACGACTTAGGTTTTGAAAATAAGAGTTATTGTAGTTAATTTACCTTGCGGCGAAGTCAGTACGATCTTTTGTGAGCTGTGCACACAATCCTTAATAAATTGACAAAGTCTTCCCAACCGTGAGGAAATGAATTTTTTTAATACGTCTGGCAAAAAAAAAAACCCTTCGTGGTCAAACAAAATTTACAATCGATGTCTTTGTTGAAAATACATCCATTCAGTTGATTATGATGAGGTATGTTCTATGCCTAAAACATTTTCGATGCTTAAAACGCTGATATCTTTAAGTTAACGTATTGGACAAGACAAGAAAAAAAAAATGTTGTAATCATTTTAAGATGCGTCGAAGTTTTGTGAAAGCTATGAAACCGCCAACACACAGATCAAGAAACGAAGGAGGAATGCTTTGTATAACAAAAGTAAAACAGTTCAACTGCAAAACTTTGGATTCTTCATTTACCCACTGGCCGGTGCGCTCGCAAATTCAGGCATACTAAGGATTAAGAGCCCCCACATTGTGTTACGTTTAACTATGTTACATTTTCCTCCGATTTTGCAGTTTTGGTGCATAGCAAACCTTTCAAAATATGTAACAAAGTAAACGAGATATTTCTTCCAAACCAACCAATTCACCCGCGATATACAATAGAATAAATGGGCTCACTTACCTCGAAGTTTTTGCCAACAGTATTCCTAATTAATGTTCGTTCAAACGCTCTTTATTTCGGTGGAGTCTTTTAATAAGAGCCCTCGCTGCGCGCTCGCCATAATATAATATTCCTCAGAATCAGCCAATGATATTCACAGTTGAGCTTCCTAATATTTCACGCGTAGAAAATTCGATAATTTTTCGCCACCTGTCTGTTGCATTATGTTCTCATGAAAAAAATATGTAAAGGAGAAATAAAAACCACGAATCGATCCCTTTAAGACCTTGTTATGAACATGTTTTGGGCAAACAACTGTTTCGTGCATTCAATTCGCTGCATTGCTATGATAATCAATTTCTTCCAGATTTTGCATATTATCACTGACCTCACAAGCCTAATGAAAAGAACAAAATATTGCCCGTCAAATTAAAACAGTATTCCGTCCAATTGTTTCAAAGGGCGTTTTTAACTTGAAACCATCGGAAAGATGGCGAAACTAAGCGGAATCTATACGATGATAACAAAAACCGATCTAAATCAGATACATTCAAGTGGAAACCACATAATGTTAATAGTAAATAATTTTGAATGAAACCGCTGAAAAGGAAAACATAAGAATCAACTGCTGTCTTCCAAATAAACGAAAGAAAACTGAAACTTTCTTAGAAATCTGTAAATTGAAATAAAAGTAGAAAAAAGAAACCTTGAGAAAGCATATTCAAATAGAGGAACCAATTTAATTTATCATTCATACCCTTTTAAAACACCGTGAATTACTGGCTTGTGTGGTTCCCGGCAGTCTGCTCAACCAGGTGATTTTGTGGTTCGATAAGCTAGGAATTTTTTCACCAAAAATCAAAATAATTTTAAAATCACTTGGATTATCTTAAAAAGCATCAATGGGCTTATTTTAGGTTTTCTGTAATTTTTCCTTATTTCCCTCACTGTTACGCCAGGCAGTGGTCTCGAAGACAACATTCTACGAAACCAACGTGACCTCTCATGAGTTTTGAAATGTTTATGTGTTTTTTAGTATGGTACGTCCAAGCTTGACCACCTAAAAAACTAACGCAGTTCTTAGAATCGTTTGTCATTTCTAATACTCAATATGCTTGTGTGAAGTTTTAAGTGGCATTTTGATGAAAATTTTCAACTGCCGGGCATTTATTCCATTTAAGACCGTGCCCGGCTGTCTGATCAGAAGCGTGCAATTTTTAAGTGTCGGCAACCGAGCGATATTATAGTATGCTCAAGCCCGGAACATTTGTCCATTTAAAAACCAAATGCGGGCAATTTGTTTTTAATGTGGGTGGACTCCAATTTATTTTTTGATGTGACACTTAACAAATTTTGCGCGGGAAACTGGCGCGCAACCGGCCAAAATAAATTCATTGGCGCATGCCCGATATTTGACCGCTGTTTTATTAACCCCCAGGCTCAAACTAAATGCGTGGGTCCTTTTCTCCAAGTGGCATATCGAGTCTAATGAATGGCCAGCGATGTTTCCAGAGCGATTATGAAATTCAAGGATATAATTCAACCAAGAAAATTATTCTTTAACGAATAAGTTGTTTTTGTTTTGTAATATTGTTTTTATACACCATGTTTTTTCTCTCTCAAATTATTTTTGCATGTGGGACCAAATAACCAGCCGAAATGGAGGCATTCTCGACCTCAGAGCTCTTCTCTACTGCGCATGACTGTCGAGTAGAAACAAGCTCTCTTTTGTTCCTGCGTAGCCATACAAATTGAGGCCGCTTTGTTAAAACAATAAAATAAAACCGTTGAACTAGCCAAACGGTTTTTAGGACGTTTTACCATCGGAAAGGGGAGGCTGGGTGCAATTTCGTCCAGTCAGTACTATAATAGTTTAATGCTCACTGGCCAGCAACCAAATACGTCAATCTATGTATAATTTTATGTATAAATTTTACATCTATTCAGCGTTTTCCATGATATTTCTACAGAGAGGTGATTTGATCACAAGGTTATTGATATTTTGTTTCTGTTAACAACACAGAAGTAATAATAGTTATCGCTGAAAATCTAACATGAAGGTTTAGAACGAAGAATAATGATCGATTAAAAAAACAAGAAAAACAACGGTACCATTATTTTCCTTTGCAAAAAACCTTACCCACTCTCTATCAACTAAACTAACAACTCTGATGAATAAATTAGATAATTAATAATAAAAATTTCACAAAAATTCCATAAGAAATCTTGAGTAATACGAGAGAAGAAAAGATGAACTATTATACAGAAACTTTTTAATTACAGTTGTTTTAAAAACAATCGACGCTAGAATGACGATATTTTGAAAAGCTTCATGGTAAAATTTTCTTTTGTAAATCTTGATACTATATCGATAAATTCAAATCTCAACTTAGACGCCCGTCTTTGAAGTACTTCTGATTTTACATTTCAGGACGACATTATGGTAGCTACGTTCCATACGTTTTTCGATAGATACTTTTCAAACAAATAAAATAAGTTTGTACAAGTCGTCACACTCCGTTAAACTTGACTCTGATTGATCTAGCCACTTGATTGCTACATGCGATCTGAGTTAAACCTGCAATAACAGACATTACGGTTTTATTAACGAAATAAGTCCTTCTAAACGCTTATTTCTTGTTCCTCAACTTCAGCCATTTCCTCATCCCTTAGCGAGCCCGCGGTAATACGTCTGATCAGCGGAAGTGACGCAGCCCCATGCAGGATATTTGAAACGGCTGCCAGCCCGAGCATTGTAAGAGGTACGCTGATATACCTCGCGAGTGGTACCAGATCTCCAAAACCCACCGTCATGAAGGTGATCGTGTAGAAGTAAAGACTATCTCCATAACTCCAGTCTTCGGCCAACATCTGAATAGCAGCTCCCACAAGAAGCAGCAACAACCAGAACAAGATGGCGAGCAGGAAACACTTATGGTGCAAGTGGTGGGGTGGTCGGTTTCTTCTCAAAAAACGTCCCTCGATAGCGTTGATGAGTCTCCTCTCGCTGTGAAGCATTTCCAAGCCAATAAGTCGCAAGAGCAGAATTGTCAAAGGGATGCCAAAAATGGCGTACAATATGCTCAGACCTTTGCCGAGACCTGTCTTGGGTGTTACATCACCATAGCCTATTCGAGATAAAAAAGGAAAAGTAGGGACCATTAATCATTCCCTCGGGGGGAGGGTGGAAGAATTTTGGGTGGATCACATGGTTTTCAGGGGGAACGGAGCGGGGATCACATCAGTCGTCATCAACAGAAAAGAAAGGAGAAATTGACCGCCAATTAACTGCCCGGGGAGGATCCCAAGAATATTATAGAATCTCATGGCGGGATCAAGTACATGATTTTATCGTGTCCCCTCCCTCCCCTCCCTCTAGGAGATGAATTAGAACCGTTTCCAAAATAAGCTTGTGTTCATGAGGAACATGTAGAGGCAGGCAGGTGAAATTTAGAATGGAAAGACATCTGAGCCGATTAACGGCAAAGAATGTTTTAAGATGCGGTACATTTATTCCTGACTACCCCAAGAGTGGGCGCACGGAGGACTGGAGCAGAGGGAGAAGACTCTCGTCGCTGGTTTCTGCTGTCAACAAACGATAAGCTCTTCCCGACAAGTGTTCTTGTAAAAGACTTGTAGCTGAAAGAAAACTAATTTGATAATTTGTTGAGACCGTCAATGATTATCAAGTGAGCCAATCAGAGCTCTTCCCCGTTGTGCTACGAGATTATGCATGGTAATCACAAGAAAAGCCGAATTAGTCAAAGACAGCTGGCTTCGATATTTAGTGACTAAAACCATGGGCTACCTAAGACGCTGGGAGGAAGTTTTCATATAAAGCACAAAACAGATGCACAGCTTGACTTTTTAAAGGGGCTATCAACTATCAAAAATTCTAAAATTCATATAAAAATTATGAATATGTATGAATTTTATATTCAAACAGCGACGATGAACTGTCGAATCTGGTAGCTTCATCGGTGGTTACATTAGAGTTTTAAGCAGGTGAAAATTATCACTTTTTCAATTTGCAACATACATTTCGTGAAACTGATAAAACTATCCTCTTGAAACACATTACTAGTCTGAGAAAGAAAATAGAATTCAAGTTTCCATAGTTCTTAGCCTTTGTTCCGTGAGTGAATCAAGCCGTTTATTTTAAGTTTGAATGATAAACCTTCAATTTTTCGCAAAATATTAATTGTGTCTCAAATTTGGTTGATTGTGTTTTGAAAAATGAAATAAATTACAAAGAAAACTTCAAACGAGATTCATCATTGATTTGGGGGTAGTATTAAAGAGTAATTCAGTGAATCTTATTTTGAAACTGATTTACGAGAAAACTTCATCCTTTCAAGACGCCTTCAATTTGCCGGTAGAATGGTAAATGAATTAGCTTTGTTTTGATTAGGTCGAGCATCCATGAAGTCGTCGAAAACCTTGTTACTGAGCATCGAGGCATCTCACGACAAAAATCTAAGGAAGTTCGACTCGCTATGTCTGGCTCTAACTACTTACCAACAGTTGTCAGTAATACGAACGAAAACCAGACAGAATCACCGTGATTCCATTTCGTCTCCTCTTCCTCGACCTCGTCTTTGCCTTCCAATGCAGTAAACACAAGCATTCCGAGCGCAAGATACCCACACCATAAAATAAAGAGAATCAAAAGTAGTTTCGCTTTTTCCGCGAGTAATGCCATGACGGCAAACTTTAATAATGCTACAGGTTTGTTTTGTTGGTGATCTTGCGATTGTGAAAACCCAATAATTTGCATATACGTCACTTTTGTTGCTTAGGAAACCTTTAAACCTCAGGGCTTAGACGTACTTTGCGTGCTCATAAATAACATTTTACAGCTGTTTTGCAATCATTAGAGAATAAAATTAGACATAACTATAACAGTTTGACAACAGTTTCGATAAAAACATTGTTACATTTACATATTTGAAGTAGGTGTTTCGTGACTCCAGCTGCGAGTGGTATTCGAATTAACTTTTATTTTGACATGATGAGAAAAATGGTCGTCTGTCCGCTTTGATTTGACATGTGCCTCGTAAAGAAGTCCATATTGATTAAAAATTGAACGTGCTACTCTCAAAGATATCAATACTAGCTTTTATTTTTGCCGGATACCTATTCTTCAAATAGTTTCGAATAGTTTTCAAAATTGCTCTGCTGGTCGCAAGAGGAAACTCCTATTTAATCTCAGTAGAGTAGATCGATTTTAAATTCAGAGTTGAAAAGAGCCTTGGTTTTGATTTAATTCATGATGTGACCGATCCAGAAAACGCACCACTTTCTCATCCAATCAGATTCAAACCTAAAAACCAATCGTGACTCGGTCACTCGCGTTTTCCCGCGCTTCAGCGGTTTGCTTGTTTTTGCTTCGTGATCTCATCGGCTCCTTGCGTTTTTTGTCTTGCTATGATTGGCTGTTATGATAGCTTTACCTTTGGTTTTAGGACATTCAATTGAAAGGCGCTCTATAGGCAAATCTTGATATTATGTAAAGCACAACAACAAAAGCTAATCAAAATTTATTTCATATACTTTTAGGAGTTAAGAAAATGCAGTATATTGCTATTTCTTTGCGAATTTTTCATTTCTACATCAATCCACAGAGAGTAGCAATTTTCTCAAACGTACATGTTTTGCGTTACTATTTGACCTCCAGTGCATATAACGAGCATACATGTTAAAATTTAGTCCCATTTGCTTCTATTAGTAAGCAGACCTTATAGAGGGCAAGAGTGACTA